TTTTTTGGTAACACTTTATTTTAAGGTGTCCTTGTTACATATGTTACATGTACTTACTATTATGCAGTTTTTTGGTAACACTTTATTTTAAGGTGTCCTTGTTACATATGTTACATGTACTTACTATTATGCAGTTTTTTGGTAACACTTTATTTTAAGGTGTCCTTGTTACATATGTTACATGTACTTACTATTATGCAGTTTTTTGGTAACACTTTATTTTAAGGTGTCCTTGTTACATATGTTACATGTACTTAGTATTATACAGCTTTTTTGGTAACACTTTATTTTAAGGTGTCCTTGTTACATATGTTACATGTACTTAGTATTATACAGCTTTTTTGGTAACACTTTATTTTAAGGTGTCCTTGTTACATATGTTACATGTACTTAGTATTATACAGCTACACTTTATTCACTTTATTTTAAGGTGTCCTTGTTACATATGTTACATGTACTTAGTATTATACAGCTTTACTTTATTTTGTTAATTAATATTACTCAGTACTTAAATATATACTTACACTGTAACAAAGACACCGTAAAATAAAGTGTAACCAAATAATTTAACCCATTTCATCTTCATTCTTTAAGTTACAATGTGTCAAAGACAAAACAAGTGTCCACATTACCTTTACAAAAGTGATTTTGCATACACAGAAAGCATATTAACGTGCCCACTTTAATGTTTTAAATCACGTTTTTGAAAATACAATATGGGTAAAATAATGTTCATTAACATAACAAATATGTAAGAATTAAACAACATACTTATCCTGACCTGTATAAAAGAATAAGTGATCATACTAAATTTGATTATATATTTAAAGTGATTAAAAACTGACAAATGGGTAAGATCTAGTGGTATAAAGGAAATTGGCAAAGATTGGGAAAGATTTAAAATGATCCGTGAGTCTTTTAATATCGTTAATAATTCTGGTACAGAAGAAAACAAGGTAACTGCGACTTTTTATCTCATAATTCTGACTTCTTTTCTCAGAATTGTAAGACATACATTTGAGTCATAAACTCCAAGGGACTATTTTCTTATAATTGTGTGTTTATATCATTAAATTCTGATGTTATAACAAGCATTTGTGAGTTTATATCTCGCTATAACAAGAAAAAAAGTCAGAATTGTGAGATAAAAAAATTGCAATTACCTTTGCTTTCAATCTTGTACAGAAATGTAGCTCATGAACGAAGAGCTTCAGGTTTTGAATAACTGTGTGCATATGATATATCCAGAAATATAACATTATGGCAAAGGTGTCTGCAACGTAAGACAAATGTTTGCTTTTGAGATGCGTGTGTGATATTTTGAATGCAGTGCTTCGTTTTGCAAGAGATGTGAGGCTTTTTGCATTTTGCGTGTGCAGTTCTTGTATTTGTGTGTAAAGTAAAAAAAAAAAAAAAGTTTTGAAAATGTAAGCATTTGAAAAAACTGTAATATTCATATTCATATCAGTAAAGTGAGTGAACGGGAATGTCCTGCATCAGAGGCAGCATCGAACAGTCCAGAGACAGCTGGATAAAATGTATCTCTGGAGTGTTTGATGAAACCGCAGAACAGCGGGTGTGCGCCAGGAGCCGCGCTCTGATTGGCCCGCGTCTTCCCCGCCCCCTGGAGCGAAGCCACGCCCCCTGGCAAAACATCAGCGGAGGCAGAACTCCAGCAGCGCAGCGCGTCTCAAAAACAAGGGAAAAAACTACACATTTCATTCAAACCGAGCAATAGTAGGCCTATGATTAGACGAGACCCAGTAATGCTCCGAGTTAAAACAAGAAAATTATTTGAGCGATGTTTGGATTAAAAGTTAACTCATTAAAACCCAGTTCACGTTCAGTTTGCGTCAGCAGCGCTTTCTGTTGGTGTTTACATCTGATGCTTTGCGCGAGACGGAAACCTGTGCAACATGCATTTTTCAGTAATGTTAAAAACAAACGAACACAAACTAACAAAACCCTTGTTGCGATTGTAAGCTCGAATCTCGAAATAACAGCCTAAGAATAATAATTAACAGTAATAAATAATATCGTTAATGATGATAATAATAATAATTACCTGTACTGGTCAAATGTAGCATATTTCATCCACTCGTGAGGTTTACTTTTATAGGACTCCATGATGCTCTGCACCTCCTCCACATTGACGCTGTCGCTTTCAAAGAGCTTGTGGAGAGTTTTGATCAAATCCTCCAGAGTGTCTGGCTTCACGAGCTCGGTCTGCTCCATCTCCAGTGCTGCTGCGCTGCTGGAGTCTCACTGAGAGAGCTCAGGCTCTTATGCATCCAGCGCAACTTTAATGGACGCTACCATGAGACGAGATGGGGGTCCGCGGACTGCAATTACAGCATTTCTGCGCAAACTCTCATGTAAACGTGCACTTTAAGCTATGAAGAAGACTTTAATACACCATTAGAGCTTTAACAAACGAATACATGAGAGACAATAAATATAATTTTTGTTTGTTTATTGATCTTTATCAGCGGACCTCCCCCATTACAGTTTGGATTGACCCGCTTTATTCAAAGGGTTAACTTTCCTCAAACAGTATCATTAACTTCATATTTACCAGTAGTTCTATCTCTATCTGAACATATAGAAAAAAAGATAAAAGCGTCATATAAGTCATCTTTTATTTTAATGAAAAACATTAAACATTAAAACAGTTTTTTTTGTCTGTTCACGTGGCACTCTCAGAAATTAATGAGATTCTTTAGAGATGTTCTAGAATTCTTAACGTGAAAAGAAACTGAGCCGGTGAACAAATGCCCATCAACTGAGAAAATATTTATTCATTTACTTACTTGCTTGTTTTTGAACTACAGCATGTTATTGTGCATTTTAAAGTGTTCCTATGTCATCAAGTGTTTTGACGCCATCATGTGGATCACGGTGAAATAAATCCAGTTCATAAACACTAGCAATGGGAGAAACAATCATACTTCCTGAAAACCCCGAGAAACCATCATTATTTAAAAGCTTTGAATCAATCGAACCAAATCGCTTCACAAAATGATTAAAACTTCTTACTCTGGTGACTCCTGCTGGTGAGAACGGTGTAAATGCAACTAAAACTCTTTACAACCTTTACCGTTTTTTTTCTACTGCTTACACACATTTTCAAAACTTTGCCTCTTTTTATCAAAACTTTACACACAAATACAAGAACTGCACACGCAGAATGCAAAAAGCCTCACATCTCTTGCAAAACGAAGCACTGCATTCAAAATATCACACACGCATCTCAAAAGCAAACATTTGTCTTACGTTGCAGACACCTTTGCCATAATGTTATATTTCTGGATATATCATATGCACACAGTTATTCAAAACCTGAAGCTCTTCGTTCATGAGCTACATTTCTGTACAAGATTGAAAGCAAACTTTTAAGCATTTGTGGTTGTGAATACAGTATTACACAGAACGAAAGAAAAGAAACATGTGTAGATGTGTGTTGTGTTCAGTGAAGCACATGTGAGGAGTTATTAGTGAGGCTTTCTGATTGGTTGTGTTTGATAAAGATACTTCCTGTTAGATTTGTGTGTGTTACATAGAGAACTGTGTGTTGTGTTTTGCAAAAAGTGTTTTATGAAATTGAAAACTGAGTCAAAGTCTGAGAATTAGTGTATGATTTTGCAGATTTGGTGTGTGCTTCTGCTGTTTGAGTGTCAGCTTTCAGAAACTGTGACACGTAAAGAGTTTGTGTGTAAGCAGATGAAAACAACTGTAACTACTATTATTCATTTTAATTATAAATGTCTCATTAAAATGTCTTAAAATGTATAAAACTGATCTGAAATCAGGTTGAAACTATAGACACTTCTTCACCTCTTTCACTGCTGAGGTCAGTGAACCTGGATGATTCATGGGTTTACAGAGATCATCGCTCGCCGACGGTGAACCATTAAAACTGAGATCTGAATGATTCGCAATATGCGTTCCGAAGTACAAATGATTCGTGAACCCGTTCCAAAGTCCCGATCTGAATCAAAAGATTCCCGAATCTGTTTTGAAGTCCTGAACTGAATCAAAAGATTGCCGAATCTGCTCTGAAGTCCCGAACTGAATCAAAAGATTTCAGAATCCGCTCCGAAGTCCCGATCTGAATCAAAAGATTCCCGAATCTGCTCCGAAGTCCTGAACTGAATCAAAAGATTTCAGAATCCGCTCCGAAGTCCCGATCTGAATCAAATGATTACCAAATCTGCTCCGAAGTCCTGATCTGAATCAAAAGATTTCCGAATCTGCTCCGAAGTCCCGAACTGAATCAAAAGATTCCCGAATCCGCTCCAAAGTCCCGAACTGAATCAAAAGATTCCCGAATCCGCTCCGAAGTCCCGAACTGAATCAAAAGATTCCCGAATCCGCTCCGAAGTCCCGAACTGAATCAAAAGATTCCCGAATCCGCTCCGAAGTCCCGAACTGAATCAAAAGATTCCCGAATCCGCTCCGAAGTCCCGAACTGAATCAAAAGATTCCCGAATCCGCTCCGAAGTCCCGAACTGAATCAAAAGATTCCCGAATCCGCTCCGAAGTCCCGAACTGAATCAAAAGATTCCCGAATCCGCTCCGAAGTCCCGAACTGAATCAAAAGATTCCCGAATCCGCTCCGAAGTCCCGAACTGAATCAAAAGATTTCAGAATCCGCTCCGAAGTCCCGAACTGAATCAAAAGATTCCCGAATCCGCTCCGAAGTCCCGAACTGAATCAAAAGATTTCAGAATCCGCTCCGAAGTCCCGATCTGAATCAAAAGATTCCCAAATCTGCTCTGAAGTCCCGATCTGAATCAAAAGATTCCCGAATCCACTCTGAAGTCCTGAACTGAATCAAAAGATTTCAGAATCTGCTCCGAAGTCCCGATCTGAATCAAAAGATGACCAAATCTGCATCTCAATCGATTCGCGATACACGCTTCGAAGCAGGCATGTGCACACATAGACATCAAAGGGGGCTTGAGCACCTGCCCTTTTTTCTGGGGAGTTTTTAAAAAAAATAAATGAATACATGTATATATGTGTGCGTCTGTGTGTTTCTGTTTGCGCACAGCTGTTCCTGTCAAACAAATAAAGAATCAAAATATAAGGTCGTGTCAGGAAATGTTGAGACTCTGTCGAGTTCAGATGCCTTTCTCCCTCTGCGTCTCCGCATCTCCGCAGCACAGCAGTGTAGCACACTTTACACCACAGATATGCAGAGAGCCGCAGAAGTGAAGCCCTCCCTCCCTTTCCAGTTGTGTTTGTCTTGGTGTGGAGGTGAGCGGTGATGAACAACATACTAAGCTACCTGTGCCTCGAATTTACAGCTAATTATCTTATCAATGATCATGAGAGCTATCAAGTTAGCTAAAGTTAATTAGCTAAGGCAATAGGAAGTCTAGTAGGTTAGACCAGTGCACGTTCTTTCACTGCATGATTCAGTTTAATAAAATGCATTTAGAATGATCACAAAATTCAAGATATGGGGGCAGAAATGTATATATTTATATCATTTCATATAGTTAATCAGTATCACGTGAAGACTGACGTTTTTTCCACCAAAAAGCAGCATGATTACAAATGTGATATTGATTTTATACAGCAGTTCAATAAACAAGAATTTAATATTAAGACACTTACGTTTTAGACACAATATTGACAGTTTTTGCTCTATTTCGCCAACAAATACAATTTCAATTTGCGTCTCTGAGCAACATGACACTGTTTTGTTCCTGAATGAATCAACCGTTTAAATGATTCGGTTCAGTCGCAATGACTCACGTATTAACAGTGACTTGCTGCCACCTACTGGCAGTTTTAATTTCACATTTAAAGTATCTTTTCATTTTTTTTAAAATAATTTCAAATATCAGTATTTAACGTTTTATGTTTAAAATATCAACACAATATTAATGCATCTAAATGCCCATTCTAATGCAGCTTCTGTGTTTCCTCTGCAAAGATGAATTTTGTCAATACTGATTTTGGACTGGTAACAGCCCAAATGACTTATTATTCTAATTGACTGATTCAGTTTAAGAATTTGCCTGAAAATATGATGTACACTTTTAGAAAAAAGGCTTAAAGGTAAAAATGCTCATAAAAGGTAAAAATCAATTTAAACTTATTGGAAAAGATTACTTTCTATTACTGCTGTAAACTGATCACCACACAGAATATGCATAATATCAAAAACTTTAGGAGTCAGCTGTTCAAAATATAATCTAATTATCGTTATCGATAAAATCCCAAAAAATATTGAGATGCATACAATATTGCACACCCCTAACAGGTATATTTAACGTTTTGTTTAGAATTTTTTTAAAATAAATATGAGAAGTGCCCTTTTTTTCCACTTGAGCCCCTACCCCTCAAAATGTCTATGCATGTCCCTGCTTCGAAGTCCTGATCTGAATCAAAAGATTCCCGAATCCGCTCTGAAGTCCCGATGTGAATAAAAAAAATTCCAGAATCTGCATCTGAATCGATTCGCGATACATGCTCCGAAGTCCCGATCTGAATCAAAAGATTCCCGAATCTGCTCTGTAGTCCCGATCTGAATCAAAAGATTCCCGAATCTGCTCTGAAGTCCCGATCTGAATCAAAAAATTCCAAAATCTGCATCTGAATCGATTCGTGATACGCGCTCTGAAGTCCCGATCTGAATAAAAAGATTCCCGAATCCGCTCTGAAGTCCCGATGTGAATAAAAAAAATTCCAGAATCTGCATCTGAATTGATTCGTGATACATGCTCCGAAGTCCCGATCTGAATCAAAAGGTTCCCGAATCTGCTCTGAAGTCCCGATCTGAATCAAAAGATTCCCGAATCTGCTCTGAAGTCCCGATCTGAATCAAAAGATTCCCGAATCCGCTCTGAAGTCCCGATCTGAATCAAAAGATTCCCGAATCCGCTCTGAAGTCCCGATCTGAATCAAAAGATTCCCGAATCCGCTCTGAAGTCCCGATCTGAATCAAAAGATTCCCGAATCCGCTCTGAAGTCCCGATCTGAATCAAAAGATTCCCGAATCCGCTCTGAAGTCCCGATCTGAATCAAAAGATTCCCGAATCCACTCTGAATTCCCGATCTGAATTAAAAGATTCCCGAATCCGCTTTGAAGTCCCGATGTGAATCAAAAAATGCCAGAATCTGCATCTGAATCGATTCTCGATGCATGCTCCGAAGTCCCGATCTGAATAAAAAAATTCCCGAATCTGCTCTGAAGTCCCGATCTGAATCAAAAAATTCCAAAATCTGCATCTGAATCGATTCGCGATATGCGCTCCGAAGTCCCGATCTGAATAAAAAGATTCCCGAATCTGCATCTGAATCGATTTGCGATACGCACTTCGAAGTCCCGATCTGAATCAAAAGATTCCCGAATCCGCTCTGAAGTCCCGATGTGAATTAAAAAAAATCCAGAATCTGCATCTGAATCGATTCGTGATACATGCTCCGAAGTCCCGATCTGAATAAAAAAATTCCAGAATCTGCTCTGAAGTCCCGCTCTGAATCAACGATTCCCGAATCCGCTCTGAAGTCCCGATCTGAATCAAAAGATTCCCGAATCTGCTTTGAAGTCCCGATGTGAATCAAAAAAATCCAGAATCTGCATCTGAATCGATTCGCGATACGCGCTCCGAAGTCCCGATCTGAATCAAAAGATTCCCGAATCCGCTTTGAAGTCCCGATCTGAATCAAACGATTCCCAAATCCGCTCTGAAGTCCCGAACTGAATTAAAAGATTCCCGAATCCGCTCTGAAGTCCCGATCTGAATCAAAAGATTCCCGAATCCACTCTGAATTCCCGATCTGAATTAAAAGATTCCCGAATCCGCTTTGAAGTCCCGATGTGAATCAAAAAATGCCAGAATCTGCATCTGAATCGATTCTCGATGCATGCTCCGAAGTCCCGATCTGAATAAAAAAATTCCAGAATCTGCTCTGAAGTCCCGATCTGAATCAAAAGATTCCCGAATCTGCTCTGAAGTCCCGATCTGAATCAAACGATTCCCGAATCCGCTCTGAAGTCCCGAACTGAATTAAAAGATTCCCGAATCCGCTTTGAAGTCCCGATGTGAATCAAAAAATTCCAGAATCTGCTCTGAAGTCCCGATCTGAATCAAAAGATTCCCGAATCCGCTCTGAAGTCCCGAACTGAATTAAAAGATTCCCAAATCCGCTTTGAAGTCCCGATGTGAATCAAAAAATTCCAGAATCTGCTCTGAAGTCCCGATCTGAATCAAAAGATTCCCGAATCCGCTCTGAAGTCCCGAACTGAATTAAAAGATTCCCGAATCCGCTCTGAAGTCCCGAACTGAATTAAAAGATTCCCGAATCCGCTCTGAAGTCCCGATCTGAATCAAAAGATTCCCGAATCCGCTCTGAAGTCCCGATCTGAATCAAAAGATTGCTGAATCCGCTTTGAAGTCCCGATGTGAATAAAAAAATTCCAGAATCTGCATCTGAATCGATTCGCGATACGCGCTCCGAAGTCCCGATCTGAATCAAAACATTCCCGAATCCGCTCTTAAGTCCCGATCTGAATCAAACGATACGCGCTCCGAAGCCCCGTTTTGAACAAGGAGCAGCTAGGGCCAGGGGCGGTTCTAGACCACAGTAACTGGGGGGGCCAGACAAGGGCCACTTGTGCTTTTAGGGGGCACAATTTTAAAATTAATTTGAACCTACTTTCAGTATTATTCATTCAGTCATTTTTCACCATGTCATGTATCACTGCAATCCCTAGAAGTAATCTATAACAATTTCAACTAAAATTAATGTTTCATTATGTTTCATTTATCTGACAAATAATTTTGTATTGTAGTGTCAGGGGCATCATGCACTCGTTATATTTGATGGGGCACGAGTGAAATATCTCGATTCTCAAATATGTGTAAGTAAATGCAGTTTGCACCTTTATAGATTATGTTAGTTGATCTATAATGGGCGATGGGCAAAGTAGCCTAATAGTGTAATCTATTAACTTTGCATAAAAATCTGTCTTTTTACTTAAGTACCAGATATGGGTGTCATGCCATAAAATATTTTTAATACGACTGACTTTGTATTTAATGTGAATTTAATAAAAACATTGCAAGTTGCAAGAACATACTGGTATGTTCATTATGTCATATAAAAATGTTTATACAATAGTTATTTTTTTGTCAATTAACCACATGTGGGACAGTAAATGAAAATCTTGAGTGCAGTACAGCAATACACAATACATATACGCATGTAATTAATTACACATTATACACTTAAGATACATTTACACAGATTAGTTAATTTATTTAATTGAAGTATCAGCGCACTACGCAATTATGTGTAAGAGTAGTCGATCTCAGATTGTCACGACTTTTATTTTGACAGTGTCGCTGCGTCATTGGAATGCGCTCACTGTAGCGGAAGTCACTCTGACGCGCTTGTTGACAGATTCCGGCGCGCTCTTCCGCTCTGCTGTGCGCGTGAGTGTCAGGTTGCGATTATTAGTTATTGATTATTGGAATATCAGTCTGTAACATCGACGACTTCAGCCGCAGCTGGATCCGACCACAGCGGTGAACATGATAAAAGCCATTCTGATCTTTAATAATCATGGCAAACCACGACTGTCAAAGTTCTACGAGCATTATGTGAGTAATGTTAAATCATTCGCTCCTTATTATTATTATTATTATTATTATTATCATCACTTAATTACGTATCTGTTTGCTTTACACGTGACCGTGTATGACATGATGTGTGCTGAATAATTGAACAGCTGATTTGTCAGAGAAATAAAGTATTTGGTGGGTTGTTATTACAGCTAAAATATTAACCATATGTGGATTATGATAACGGAAAATGCCTTTAAATCAGTTGTCATGGAAGAATATTTGATTTTGGCCATGAAGAGCGCAGAAAATACAGAGAGAGAGAGTGTGTGTGTACAGTATGTGTGTGTGTATATATATATGTGTGTGTGAGTGTGTGTGTGTGAGAGAGAGAGAGAGTGTGTGTGTGAGAGTGTGTGTGAGAGAGTGTGAGAGAGTGTGTGTGTGAGTGTGAGTGAGTGAGTGAGTGAGTGTGTGTGTGTGTGTGTGTGTGTGTGTGT